ATTTTATCTCATGGCCAATCTCTCAGTCTGATCGTGTGCGAAGTTGGCTTTAAACTAGCACTTAAATTAAATGGGCTTAGAGAACTGATATCTGAAAGGGCCCTTTAAGAACTATATTATCTGCTCTCCATTTCTAGTTGTTCTTCAAATAAATTCTTGCTTGTATAGAGACGAATTCAATAAATCAAAAAAATCAAAAAATTAATTTGAATTATGGAACTCTAGAACTCGAGTTATAAAATTTTTTTATTGAAATATTTGCAATTTGTAATATTTACAGATACATCTATTTTTACTTAGAAGTAGACTCGAGCAACCGCTTACATTTATACTCTCGGCAATACCCCACATCCCAGAACAATTGCCTAAAAATTATCTACTTTCAGTTCCGATTTTAAATTTTCCAAATGATAATTAAATCCTTTTTTACCTTTATTGAAAAAGAAGAATTTTAAAAATAATCAGAATACCATAGATAGCCAACAGATAACTTCCTATAGCACATGGTATTCCCTAACAATAGCAAGCATTTATCACCCTTTCAAATCCTGCTATTCAAATTCTTTTTTCATACCTTTTTTATGCCCAAATTGCCAACTGGGCGATTTTATTCATGAGCATTGAAACATTCTTCAACTCTGATCCCGATTGCCTTACTCTATCTCTCTCTCTCTCTCTCTCTCTCTCTCTATCTCTCTCTCTCCCCTGCACAGAGTCTCTGTGTGTATATCTCTCTCTCTGTCTCTCTTTTGGTTTCTCGTTGAATTTATGGTAGAACAAGCACTACAATAGTTTAATTAACATTAACGCTGACGCCGACTACTGATGGCAATAAAAAACCATTAAAAGGAATTTATTTTAAGGACCGAACCGGCTATAAATCACATTACACGCTCCCATAAAAGCAAAAGCAACAGAAATCTGAACAGCAACTGAATGTGGGCAAAGGGACTGAAGGGAGTGGGGGAGAGGGTGGAGGTACGAGGAAGAGGATGGTTGCAGAAAGCTCTGACTGTGGGGCAAGTGCCTTTGACTGCTGGGGGCGTGGCAGTGGGCGTACTCTACTTCGTCATTCGTTGTGAGTATATTGGCTTGAGTGTGGAGTACGTATGAGTAGAGACGTTACATATACCATACTACTATATGTATTTAGTATTTTCTATGTTTACTCTAGAATTATATTAAAGGTAAGAATTTGGAATAACCATTTGTTTGTCTAATATACATATGATATACATATGCGGTAGTGCAGCTAGAGATAGAGCTCCAATGCTATTTGACTTCCTAGATAATTCTATGGACCTATTTTCAGGATTGATCTTAAACTATTGGAACAGTCCCATAGAAGGTCATACCTGCAGATCAGATCTATGACTGCAGAGATTGTTGATTCTAGATTCATAGCTGTAAAATCAATCTATTTCATATATTTTTATTAATAATCAATCATAATTTTTGGACGGGTATTACGCAGTCGGTTGCAACCTTTCTATCAATTTGGTGTATCCAAAAAAAAATCAACGCACTGCAGGCAGGGGAAAAAGAGGTACAGAGTGAGAGGGATGGCTAGCTAGCATACATAGTAGTAAAAATTGTTTATACGCATAGTTTGTTGCCCCCCTTTTATTTGGCTTTGCGTTTTTTTTGTTTTATATCATCGGCGTGTTGCGTTAAAAGCGTTGGCATTAAAAATTACGAGGAAAGTTAATGGAAATACCGTTTTGATATTGGCAGGGCAGAGCCTAGTTGCGTGTACCTCGCCTTGCTTGGCCTGGCCCGGCCAATCGAGTCGAGAGCTAGTAAAAGTTATAGAAAGTATTAAAAAAGTCACTTATTCAAATCATATTTTGCATATAAAACATTAACTATGCCTCGGACTCTCCCTCACGGCCCCTTTGCTTTGTGTTCTTTTCGCAAACGCTTTGATTAGAGCATAAGCAGTCTATAATATCAGAATTCAGTTGAAATAATATGCTTTCTATTCACATAAGAAAACAACATTTGTTTTTATGCTTATCCACGTCTCTCCCTCTCTCTCTCTTCTCTCTCTGTCCTTGTCGGTGTCTCCCTCCCTGTCTAAGGGAGACAGTGGAGTGTATTGAAGCATCCTTTCGGCGGATATATATGAAACAATACAACCATTAAATTGACTGGCTAAAAGGAAACACATTGATTTGCCATTTTGAGCTCAAATTCATGGCAATAAAATCAGCGCAAAGTTTGCTTGTCTGCCTCTTCTTCTTCTTCTTCCTCTTTTTTAATGCCACTTTCAATATTTGTTTTAAGCAGAGGGCAGACGTACGGTAGGTCTGCCGTCCCCCTTCCCTTGCACCGCCTCTGTTAGTTGTGGTTGCTCGGTTGCCTTTGCCTTGTCGTCCCATCGTCCCATCGCCCCGTCCCCCTCCCCCCTCCTCACTCGGCGCATTCTGTGTGAAATTGTAAAACGCGTTGTGTAATCGAAACTTTTAACGATTTGATGCGATTCGAAATTGTGTAATATGAAGGCACTAATACTCATCCAAATGGAAATCGAGTGCTCACACACACACACACACACACACACACACAGAGACAGAGGCACACACATGGGTGTGCAAATAAATAGCATTGGGCATATCCTCCCATTGAGGGTCCTTCAGATACATTATACATCGCTAAAGTTGCGCTACACTCAAAAGTGTAGGGCATATCGATTGATGCCATGCAAAGTAGTGTTTATTTTTAAGGAAATCGTAAATCAAATAAAATCGAAGAATATATAGAAGAATATACTGAGTAAAGTTGAAAGATTTTGCCAATTGATAAATTATACAAATTTATTCAGGAAATAAATGGAGCTCTATTCAAATAATGTTAATAGAAAATAAATTAATTTTACATAAGAAACATCTTTTGAGAACAAAAAAAACATGCAAAAACATATATGAACATATGAGATAATATATTGAATTATCTTTTATTTCTTTTAAAAATAGAATATCAATCAACAGAGTAAGTAATGCTATATTTAATAAAACGTTCCAACTTTATTCAATGCATTAAAAAGGAAAAATAAATTATAAAAAATATTAACTACAAATAAATTGAAATTGGAATTAAATCGATACAACGACAACTTTAATCAAATGCGAAAAGTGACTTAAAAATTCGTAGTCGTCCAGCCAGTGGAAGTTCGGAATTGCCTTGGAGCTGCGAAAAAACCAATCCATGTAATTCGACGACAAAGATGTGCTAATAAATTTCAACTTAATTTCCGAAATGTGCATCTAACACATAAAAAGCTGAACACAAACACGAACCGACGCTGCCCCTCCTTCAAAGGCTGAGACAGCGACTGAGGCGCAGACTGCGACTGAGACTGAGACGGAGACTGGGACTCAATCGTCAGGCAGCAAAGCAAAGCCTGTAACGGAAATGAACAAGAGCGAGCGGGATTGAGATTCGGGAAAGGGGCAGAGTTAAAGTGAGAGAAGGAGAGGGAAGGAGCTGTGTCAGATTGAGTTGCCAGGCGGCGTATTGTTCTCGAAGCTGCCGAAGGCACAGGCACAGAGCGATAGATGGAGAGAGGGAGAGGGAGAGGGAGAGGGAGAGAGAGGCTGGCAAAAGCAAAGCAGGCGCAAAGTTTCAAGTATGGTTTTTGCATAAAACTTCAATTTAAATTGACATTTGAGTGGAAAGTAATTGCATGATATGCAGGGAGAGCATAAAAAAGGCAGGCACCATCGACGGGCTGTTACTTATGGCTCTTGCGAGTGGGTGGGGGGGTAGTCGCCGGGCTGGGCGTGTTTAATATATGGCCACTGCCTTTGCAGCTACTATTTTTAGGCATTTAATGTTATTTTCAAGCTGCCTCACTCCCACTCCCACTCCCACTCTCCGTCCCACTCTCACTCCCTCTTGTGTACGTTGTCTTCCCATCTCCTTCTCTCCAATTTGTTTTGTCCGCATCCATTCATTCAGCGGTCCATCCATCCATCTAGAGCATTGCGGAAGGCTCTACGTAGCTCATTATGCGCTCGTTTATATGCCGAATTTGTTGTTGTGGTTGCGCCACCTCCTCCTCTTCGCGCTCTCTTTCTGTTATTGCTGTTGCTGTTGCTGTTGTTGTTGCTGTAAAGTTTCGTGCACATTATGAGGGTCTGAGTCTGGTTTTTATTTTCGAGTACAGCGTAACTGTATGCGGGCAGCGCTCTCTTCCGCTCGCTCTATCTCTCGCCCTCTCTTTGTCTTACTTGCAAATTAAATGCCAATAAATTTGCATTTTTTGTTGTTGCCTTGCAGAGATCTCAGCAAAAGTGTCATTTAGAAGTTGGAGGAGGTGAGAGTGGGAGAGTTGACAAACGCACACACACACACACAGACACAGTTGTTCACTCCAATTTGATTTCATTGGTAAGTTTTCCAATCAAATTGACCAACTTTCAATGTTGGCAATAAACGTTGTTAATTTGTTTTCCATTTCAAGCACATTCATTTATTTATTTATTCATTTCCTGCTGTACTTCGCCCCATTGTTGGGCAATTGTTTAGAATTTTTATTGAGATTAAAAATATATGTAGCTCGTCTTTTTGTTTGTGCTGTGTGTTCTCCGATTGGGGTCTAATCAAACGTCTTATCAGACAAGCAGACGATTGCAATTTCCGATTGTAAAAGATTAATTCAATCATTTCAACAGATGTTTGATAGACCTTGACTTAAATATGCCAATGAATAGTTGATAGACGATTTCAATTCGATTCCTGAAAAGTTTTCAGATGATGGCATTATCAAATTGATTTAATAGGGCCTTTATAGAAATAATAACAAATATTATGAAACCATATTTCAGTTGATTCTGTGAAAAGTTTCAGAGAATAATTAGTTGTAGTATTAATTGTAATCTATATTCCTCTCCTCTCTCTCTCTGTTCTCCTTCTATGAATTGTTAATTCTTTTATAAAACATATTTACAAAACATATATTTGTGTGTACATAAATCTAAATTCCTTTTTAAACTAGTTTTTTTTTTTATAATTCCAGTGCAATTTCTTTGGCTAACTATCCACATCTACAGATTCGTCCTCCACATTCGCCTGAGGCGGTTCGCTTCTTCGCCTCATCATCATCTGCTGCAGTTGGGCGACGTGGCAGGGCTCCAGTTGGCGCATGCAGCCGTAGTAGAGAACGTCCGAGATGAGCTTGCGAGCGAGCAGCTTCTGTCTAGGCGCCAGCTCCTCGAACTGACTGAGCCAGGTGTGAGCGAGTGCCTCGGATTCGGAGAGCGTAGACAAACGCTTGCGCTGCTGCCTGTTGCAGGAGGAGGAGCGAAGTGGAGAGGTGGGACAGTGGACAGTGGAGCCCAACTCGGTTGCGGCGGGTGAAGCAGGAAATTCATCTTTGACTGCAGAGCGTCGTTTCTTGCGCTGCGGATGGTAATAGTATGTGTGTGAGAGAGAAGTAGAGAGAGGTATGGATTCTGAACTACCATAACTTCAGGCTGAGCTTCAAGATCAAAACTGTTCGATTTTTGCAAGGTGTGACACCAGCTGTGCACCTCTTGGCCCTCCAAGAAGCTCAGAAGCCCAAAGTACCAGAGCGTCGACTCGAAGGGCTCCTCGTCGCTGCAGTGATCGCGTTTGCGCAAATCACGACGAAAGTTTGTGCGAAACGAGTTGATTTTTTTGACGACAAGGGCGCGATCCGCGTCCGGCTCCACCTCGCGCAGCTTCTGCACCAGCTGCTCGTAGCCGGCTGATTTCAGAGCACGGCTGCTGTACTCCGGACTCTTGACCTTCCACACAGCCGGCAGCGAGCGATAGAGCTCCAGAAACTCTGTCCAGAATTGTCGATCGCGTGAGTTCATTTCCGATCCACATCCAACAACAACGGCAAAAGCTGTCCACAGCTTGAACTCGCGCACAGCACTAAATACACAAAAGCACAAGCTTGCATGCGCAAAATGCAAAATGTGGAGAGAGCAACAACGGCAACATGCCTGATGCCAGATGGTGCAAAAGAGAGAGAGAGAGAGAGAGAGGCATAAAGCAACAGCAACATCAACGTGAAATGATGCTCTGCAACGTTTGTTGCTTGTGCAAGCGTTTGCCCTGTGCGCTTTGTGCTGGCATTCGCGGTGCTGACGTTCGCTTGTGCTAAGCAGAAAAAAAAGCAAATACATATGCATGGCTATACTTGTGTGTGTGCCTAGGAAGTGATTTATGCAAAGAGAGCAAGAGAGTGTGAGAGAGCGCATAAGCACAGCAGCAGCTGTTGTTTTGGCAGTCAGTCTGCTGATCCATTTTCTTCGCCAGCCGCAAAGCACACACACACACACAAATGTATACAAACGTGCTTGCGTGAGTGTGTATGCAAATATAAGAAGCAAAGGCGAACGAGTAGCTATCGACACTTTTCGTGTCAAAGTCAGCTGTTTTATTCTGCAGCTAAAGAAGAGTAATTTAATTTGAAACTGAACTGAGCAGAAACTATGCTCGCCCCGGGGGTGAAAAGGTTAAATCTCAATTAAGTTGCTACAGCTCGAAGCTTCCGATTCGAGTTGCTGCTGCTTCTTCAGATGTTGCAATTACTTACTGTTTGACCCTTTGTAAAGTAATTTAAATAACTGTATTTACATGGCAAATGGCAAATATTGATGCCGCGAGGACATTTAAACATGACAGCAAACAAACAGAGCGCACAAGGACCAACAGGATGAAGACATTATGCACTTGTTTTCAATTATGGTCCAGAGAGAGAGAGAGAGAGAGAGAGAGAGAGAGAGAGAGAGAGAGAGAGAGAGAGAGCAAGATAGGGAGTTAGAAGGAGTGAGAAAGGGAGGCAAAAAAACGAATTGAATTGAAGTGAAACTAAAGCCTTTTGCAAATAGTTGTTAAAATATGTCAATAACCTTCAGCCCCGCCCACCAGCCGAATGGCCACATCAGAGCAGAAACTTGGCCTGGCCTGGACCAGACCCTTCGACGGGCCCACCCCCAGCCTCGACTCCGACTCTCCAGCCAAGAATTGCTAACGGGACATTGGTTTGCCCAGGCTGCCAGTGGGCGGGGGCACGACGCCAAGGATGGGGCAGAGGAAGCCACAGAGAATGGGAATCTCTGGGGTAACTGTATACACGACTAAGCGCAGAAAATGTTTAATTAAATTCCAGGACACATTTGGCATGTTACATTGCTTTGGTCTGTCGAACCGCACAGTCCGCACACACTTTCAGTGGGTATTCGGAATATCCACGGACTGGCGTCCTGTTTATCCTTGTCGCAGCAAACTAACTAACGCAAATTGTAATAAAAATACCGAAACGTAGCAAAACCAAGCAAAGCAAATTATGTGCTCGCTCTCTCTCTCTCCCCTTGTCCCCCTTTGGCAAAGCTATTGACATTCTGTTGCGGTTTCTCGAATACAATATTGGCTCTGACCAAGATCCTGTTACAGCAGCAGCAGTTGGCTCCATCGATACCTTCTTTTAAAGAACGTTTCTTAAAGGTTGAAAACGAGAGCTGAGAATTACAGAAATATGAGAGTGCTATAATGGAGGAACTTATTAATCGGAGTACGGGAATCTAATTCCCAACTATTAATATGAGCACTAGCAATATTTGTGATCCGAATTAATTAATATGGTATACTATAAGTAAATATATTTTAAAATTTTACATATTTTGCTAAAATAGTTCCGATAATTATTTAAATAAGAAACTCTGAAATTTATTGGACAATTTAAAAAGATTGTGCAATATGCATTAGAATATCATAAAAAATATATCATATAATAGATGGTATAAAAATACCAAAAAGGTCTCAATCGATTCCACATTCCAAATTGTTCGATGAGTCAAAAAATAAACCGAATTCCATTTATATCATTCCTAGTAGAATTTCATCATCTAAATAAATATTAATATTATTATTAATAATTTATTATTTTTAAATAATATAAATTTTGAGTGCATTTTATCTACTGTCATCTAGACAGAGCAAAAAAAAAAAACTTCAACGATGACCGTTTTTCCTCAAAAAAGAAGAAAAAGGGAAGTAAATTGGCCATGGCCTGGAGCACCGGTCTGGAGTATCTAATCAAATAAGCCGGCAAATTGCGCACGGCTCGCCGCTGCTAACTCGAGTCGACAATAAAATGTTATGACCATACGAAATTTTCAGTATTTTCCTCCAAGTTTTCTTCGTTTCTTTTTTATGTAGCTCCATTTGTAAATCTGAGAGACGGCATCTGTATAATGTGATGGCCTTTTAGAGGCCAAGTCGAGCATTTAGGCAACGCTTTTTTATGGGCTATATGGTTGAGTCGACTCCGACTCCAACTCTGACTCCGACTCGGCTTGACTCCAGTCGGTGTCCGTTAATGATTGATAAACCGCACGGGACCAATCAACACCCAGAGACCAATCCTATGGTTCGGCGTCTTAGAAAAGAGAGTTAGGGGGAGAGAGAGAGAGAGAAAGAAGCAGAAGGGGTCCTACGGGTACTGGGCTTTCAGATGTGCATCAAAAATTGGCCACATTGTCGTGAGCAGCTGTGGAGGGACGGTAGTTGGTATAAGTACGGGCTAGTTGCTATACCAGTTTCTTTATTACAAAAAGGAGCTTGGGTCAAAACCGCAACAAAAACAACAACAACAAAAACAACAATAGCAGCAACAGCGAAATCGCAGCCAGCAGCGACGTCGTAAAAGAAAACAATATTGTAAATAAAGTTTAGAGCTGAAGTCCAAACGGGTTTTCAAGTTAACCAAAACAACGAAAACAACAAAAACAACCAAAACAGCCAACAACCAACCCAACAACCTACCAAACAACCAAACGTCTGACCGACCAACCCAACATCGTGACTGCTTCGCGCTTGTTGTTGTTGTAGTTGTTGTTGTTGTTGTTGTTGACGTCTTGGTCTTTGATGACTTTTTAACCAAAGTTGTTGCCTGTTGCCTCTTGTTGTTGTCGATTTTTATTTGTATTTTTTTATTAATTTTATTTTATTCGTTGTATTTGTATACCCTGTAGCTAATCGAAATCTATAGAGAAAAGAATAAGCTACCTCAAGGAACTCGGCGACTTCAATTGGCACAGCCAAGAAATTTGCTATGTAGGCTCTACACAGCATCTATATATAATTAATGTGAACAATTTGGATTTACATACGTCTATGAACTGAAGAGCCATGTTAATACTAACTTGGGAATCTCAAAAACTACAAATGCTACAATCTTGCTCATAAGCCTGACGAAAATTATATAAACTGTAATAATTTAATGAAACTTTGTTTACAAAATAAAAAAGGCCCATCCTACCTCCAGGAACTCAGAAACTACTAATGCGAAACGTATCAAACTCGAAATTATTGCTAATAGATAGAAAAATATATAATTTAAAACGGCATGCAATACATCCTAACTGATAGAACCCAAGATAGATAAGCCATGCTCACAATGTATTGTATTGCTAATAATAATTAATAGAACGCTGATCCTCAGTCCCAAAACTTGTTCTTCTACTGCTATTCCAGGGTATATTCTGGTCGGTTGCTTTTGACTGCTCTTTTGTTTTTGGCTCATTTCTGTTACCATAAAAGCAGTTAAACCACAAACCACATCCATTGCCGTAAAACTTCTTGTTCGTAAACAACAAACGCTCGGACGCTGGGACAGACGCTTTGTTGTTTGGCTGGCCCCAACTGGGGCTCGGGCCCCAGAACTGGGCTTCTCTGTCTGTCTTCTGGCCCAAACACCATAAACATGAAACGAATCTAAGTCAAGAAACAGGTCTCGAAACCATGGCTTAGACTTTATCTCCAGTCTGAGCCAAGAACTAACCTAGGTCTAGCAACTAGTTTGACAACGTTGTTCGTACACACTTATTTATTTATTTATTAATATTATTATTATTTTTTTTTTTTTTCGTTTAGCACCGTCTATGCGGCAGCATTGTGTATATATTTTATGCACATGCTTATGGCTTTTAAGATAAAAACTATTATGATTGCTAAAACGTGCAAAAAAAAAACAACAGCCGCGAAAAAACAAACTCGATAGCTCTACAAATGGTAGAGACGAAGTACATTTGCACTCAAGCACACGACCAACAACCAGGTGAGTGTGTATGTGAGTGTGCGAGTGTGCGAGTGTCTGTCTGACCGAGACGTGAAATTTATGCTCTGGCATAATTAACTTCAAACATGATCTCATAAATTCATCTCGCGTTGTTTACTTTAGGCTAAGCTCTGATCTCTGTTGGTTCTGCGTCTGCCACTACCGCCACCTCTACCGCTGCCTCCGATTCTAGCTGGGGCTGAAGTGGAGCACACAGCTGAGTGCACTCCAAATCTGGGAGTCACATAAAAGCACTACTTATATATCTACGTTGGTTTGTGTGTGCGTAGAGCTTGGTCCATTTCCTTATTTCCTGTTCCTCATGTGCGTGATCTATGCAAATATATTGAAGATCTTTTTGATAATCAAATACTTTATAATGATAACAGCTCTACATTCACAATAGTATAGGTTTTAAGGTCTATTAGTTAGCAAATTATACCATCAGCAAATAAAAGGTGATAAAAGCGGGTAGTTTGAAAAAGTCGTTAAGTCATGATTAATTATATTATACTGACTGAATATTCATAAATATATTATCCTAACTCAAGTAACTCAGAAACTGTTGAAGTTACACATACGAAATCTTATACGTGGACTCTTTATAAGCATTGCTAACGATAACACCGTTAAATACCGAGGTCATGCTCTAGAAACTCAATGATCTCTAGGGCTGTATTCATGAATATCTTGCTTTAACATTTTACGGTCGATTCCTTTTATAGGGTCATGCAGGGGAAGCACTATTTGGTAGTTGCTCATCAAGCTTTAAATATAAAAAAAAATAGAAGGAAGTGCTCTAAACAGCAACTTCCTGAATTGAAATCGCTCGCCTCAGCACACACACATAAATAAAGATC